GGTACCGGCCTATAGCTTGCCAGTAGACCCAAGAAATTGGGAATGGGATCACCCACTCAAAAGACGAGCTTATGTACCGCTGTATGATTATACAGTTAGAACAGGGTATCAAATTGCTAGGCCAAAACTGGATGTAAACGGGATTGTTTCCAGGAGATGGATGGCCACAAACTGGATAATGGATTCTTTGCGCGTCTAGCCGCTCCATTGCCAGCTTTTTGGAAACTGTTAATGGACTTGTCAGTGGTGAAGCATTCAGCACTCCTCTGGTTGATTGCTTATCAAGCCCTTCCCACAGCGATGTGGTGTGCTAGAAGAACGCACAAGGCCTCGCCTCGCCGTGAGCTGTGTCCGGGATTGGTATCGGAAGACATGCAACACTTCTGTTTGTTGTGTGACTTTGCCCGCCCTTTGTGGGCATGGTGGAGAAGTTCATCAGTGCTGGCGCCGGCAGCAGCTGAAAGATGGACTGATGATTTTGTGCTGCTAGGGTCAGCAACGAGACGTACGCAAGTACTGGGACAGATTGGCTATGCAGAAGAAACTTTGAGAGCTTCCATTCTCTGGACATTAATGAACATAGAATCAATACAAAAATCCCATCTCCAAGTAATAGTCTGTGGCAGCACTCTCCTGTAGTTTTTTTTTTATTTTTATTTTTAGAAGGCATTATAAATAGGATCTCACATAGAAATGCATAAGCTCTGCAGGGGTGTGGTCCCATTAGCAGTCGGATAGGAATGTGGCCGATCCAGTGCGACACTGAGTGGCAGCGGCCAGACACGGTCATTACGAATTTCTGGGCTGAGAAAACAGGAAAAAGGCCGAAAAAACAACAACAACAGAGACCTCCCACCGGAAATCACGGCAGAGTGCTTCCCAGCCGTCAGATCACAAATGATCTGATGGTGGTGGTTGAAAAAACAGTGAACAAGGTAACCGCCACATTTTTTTGGAATAAAATCGACTTCTGTCATCAGTGATCCTGACACCCTCCATACACTGCGTGATTGAAGAAGGGCTCCACCCAATGAGATAATTGCACAACAGCAAGCAAAATACTGGAAATCTTCTATCCAGTGGGCTTATGGCCGACCCCACTCTCTTTTGAAGGGTTGGCCGTGCCCCCGACGGATTGAAAAGATTTTGGCTGGAAGCTTCCTTTGCACGGGCATGCCCAGTGTTAAGGAGAGGAGGAGGGGAACCAAGATCTCCTTACTTTTTGGGGTAATACAAGTAAAATACTGACCGTGGGATCACGAGTACTGCACAGCAGGATTTGGGTCACTCGACTGCCACACAAACTCTTTTCTATCCTATCCCGTTGCTAGTGGGACCATGCTCCAGCCCTGTGTAGGGTTGCACTAGAGGATACATGATGGATAGGATCTCACTGAGTCTGCATATGTGAGTTTTAGTACCACTTAGGGACATTGAATTTGTCTGTGTTTTTGTGCTGAGTTTGCTGATTTTTTGAGTTTTCAGTTTTCATTGCTGACTGTGACCAGCAGGGTTAAGTGTCGGCCTTTGTGAGGGATGTAGGATTGAATACTGATAGATTAGGGATAACTCGCACATTAGATTAGGGTTAATGGAACAGGATATGTGCCTGGGTGTGTTGAACCTTTTCTATGATATGAGGGGTGCCGGACCCGTTTTTCGGCTTTTATAGTTCTAAAGCAGCCGTCATATGAATCAGGAGGCAGTGCCTGGATCATATGACATTTGGCTGCCATTTTTTTTTTTTTTAATAAAAAACAGAAAAAAAAAGAAAGATAAAGCAAACTTAATTGCTATAGCCTGCCTATCCGTACAAAGAGAGTGCATTATCCAGGGGCCTAGCTCAGTTGGTAAGGCAGGCAAGTGGGATTCAGGAGGTCTTGGGTTCAATCCTCGCTGGTCTCATGCACCTTCCTGGGCAAGCTTGGCGCCTGCCACCTAGAGATATGCCGTTGGTCCCCTCGAGTGGCATTGAGCAGAGACTGCTGATGTTCATAGGAGGGGGGGGGACCGGCGGGGAGGCACAGAGAACGGCGAGTGACATTGAGCAGAGACTGCTGATGTTCATAGGGGGGGGGGACCGGAGGGGAGGCACAGTGACTGGCCCTTCGAAGAAGCTCGGTCCTGATGCTACCGGCTGACCCCTGGCCGGTATCGCCCACCTGCTGTAGCAGGTATCGCAGCTGCTGCTGTGGGTGCAGCTTCCGCATGTTACCTCGTTGGAGGCTTGACCACGGATGTGGCTGCTACGCCCGTAATACTATAATGTAATTGGAAAAAAAAAAAAAGAGAGTGCACGTTTTCCCCGCCAACGTTTTCTTGCCATACAGCTCCGCAGCTCCGCGGAGAGCTATACGTCAGAAACGAAACCGAAAAAAAACGTGGAACGTGCTGGAAGGGCCTCACCAATCTGCTCGCAAAACGAAAAAATCGGGAGGAGGGAAAAAAAGAAATAGTAAATAAATAAATAAATAAATAAATAAAAATCGGGAGGGCATATGCACACAGACAGAAGGCGGGAAGATGCATCTGCGGCTATCTACGGGAAGATGCATCTGTCACTATTTAGTGGAGGGGATGCATCTTTTCACCGTACTACGCGCGAAGAGGCACTCGACACTTTTCACGTTTGATGAGTAGTGCGGCGAACCCAGTGGCGACGGGTGCCCAGTGAGCGTCTCATCCCTCGCCAGTTGGTTTAAAAGAAGTCCGAGGCGGCGTAACAAGCAGGCCCTCCTCGTGCAACGAGCTGCGTTGTCGAAGAGACTCCTTGTTTCGATCAAGTCCTTGGAGCAGCAGGAGGACTGCGTGCAGCTGCCGATCTTGTCTCTTCCTCCTTCTCTCTCTCTGTGAACCTCTGTCCCTACCTCGCTGGTGCTTGCTTGGTCGTGATGGCGAGGCGAGGGTTCGCCGCTCCGGCACAGCGATTCGCGCTGTTGGCCGCAGTGCAGGTGGCGCTGGTTCTTCTAGCTCTCGGATATGGCTGTCAAATGGCGTCTGCTCGCCACGTCACTGCTGAACAACGGCTGGCGGCGGCCATCAACTCTACCGCTAAGGCGACGCGCCCCGTTGTGGTGACCATCACTGAGGACATCGTGCTCACGCGATCGCTGCCATTGATTCTCGGTCCTATCGTCATCAAGGGAGGGTGTGGTCGGCGCAAATGCGTCGTTGATGGTGCGGGCAAGTACGGCATTTTCCAGGCCTATGCACTGCCCCCTCTGTGCTCAGTGACCATCGAGAACTTGATCTTGCGCAATGCTGCGCAAGGAGCTGTCTACTCCAAGTGCGACCTGAAGCTGAGGCGTGTGGACTTCACGCAGAACAAGGGAGCGAGCGCCGCCGAGGTTGGCCATGGACAGGCCTCGTGGCACATCGAGGATTGCTTGTTCGAGAAGAACAGCGCGTCAGGTGCCGGCGGTGCGCTTTACGTCGGCGCTGCCGGTAGGGGGAGAGTCGTCCGTACCACGTTCAGGTCGAACAGGGCGGGACAGGATGGTGGAGCCGTGTACGTCTACGGACAGATGACCGGTTCTTACGTCTTCGATCGCGTGACCCTGGACTCGAACACGGCTGGAAAGAGTGGCGGGGGACTGTTCGTAGTCGGGATTGCGTCGGGTGCTCCGAAGGTGTTCGTCTCCGGATGCAAGTTCTCGAAGAACGTGGCGACGGGCGGTCCTGGTGGTGCGCTGGCGCTCAGCGCGTCGGTGGATGCCCGAATTTGTCACACATCCATCGCCGGGGGCCGGAACGCAGCGAAAGGCGGGAAAGGCAACGACGTCGCTCTGTTAGACGGCAACTATCACCCTCAAATGACAGTCTCATTCTGTCCCAGAAAGCCTTCTGGTCTTTCCCTGTTCGTCACTCGCGTTCCCAAACTCCCGATCGTTAGCCAGGACTGCCGGGTCTGTGCACTCCCACAATAAGGACATTTCTTCGAACGACACTGTAGTCGATGTCCTCCATGATTCTCTTGGGTCAGCCTGGCTGTGTGCGACTCTCTCTCTCTCTCTCTCTCTCTCTCTCTCTCTCTCTCTCTCTCTCTCTCTCTCTCTCTCTCTCTCTCTCTGTCTGTTAGTTTTTGCTTTAGTTTGGCTCGCACACTGCTTATCTATGCAGTGCTATCGAAATCTTTGTCAGTCTTGACGGCTCTGTTGGTCAGTCTGTCCATTTATCTATATCTTTGTGACAGCGTGTCTCACGGACTCTTACTCCGTTGCCTTGGCGGCGCACACGTCATTACCTTCAGGATCGCTCAAGAAAGCTCCGAGTGTGAGAGACCACCGTTTGCGCTTCATTTCCTTGCCGTGAGACATTAGGACAGGCATCTGTTTCGCGTGATGGCTCGGGAGGAGGCAGGCGGTACTATCTTTCGATATCCCCGAGGGTTGAGCATTAGCAGCAGAGCCTCGGAAGTTTCTGGCACTCGAAATTGATAGAGGATTTTCAGGTGGCAACAGCCTGTGGAATCCTCGACGTTTATCTATGGAATGTCGTTTGCAATGCGTTTCGTTTTCTTTTAGTTGGCGAGTTGTTTTCGTGTCTCAAGTCACGACAATCGTTTTCGTCTGTCTGAAGATGCTGGATCTTCTATTGCCGGAACTGGTGGTTGTTGGTTGTGCATGCCGCATATCTGTTTCTTTCAACAATCAGCGCTGCTTGATGACGTATTGCTCTCGCTTTTTGTGCTGTCATCTGTTGTCGTTGTCCTGTAGTGAGAGCCTCTTTGCGCCTTTTGTTGTGACTAAAAAGATTGGGAATGTGTTAGGGGTACCATACAACCATGATGAGGGTCCGTCCATTGCGTTCAGGTGAACCGCGCTACACATGGAAAAAGTGGCTTCCGGTTCCATTCCCCGCAGCCTCTCCCTTGGTAATGTTTCTCTGGATGCATACAGAATCGTCTTGCAGAATGTAGGATGGAGAGCGATCGCAGAATATGCAGTGGAACATGAACGGTCCAAGGTACAGAACCCAAGTTCAAATCCAGCTGGAATCAATCATATGAACAGAATAAAATTGTTCTCAATTTCTGGGGCCGGTCACTTCATTGATGATTTCTCTGGGGTCCTGACTGGGGAAGACGGTGGTAGCTCTCTCTCTCTCTCTCTCTCTCTCTCTCTCTCTCTCTCTCTCTCTCTCTCTCTGTGTGTGTGTGTGTGTGTGTGTGTGTGTGTGTGTGTGTGTGTGTGGCAAAAATTGTGTTTAGTGACATTAACCGGCAGGGGAAAGGAAGGGGGCGGCACGGGTCCGAAAGTACTGTATCTTAAATTCACATCCACCGTCCCTCCCAGGGCTGGTTGGTCTAAGAAGGCCTGCTCCAATTTTCTGGACCTGGCCTAATGCCGAACGGGCCTGCGGTTTGAAAGGTGTACTGTCCTTTCCTGGAATATCGGGTTTGGGGCTGCAATTGCTCGCTGCCCCAATCCGGTTTTTCTGAATGCAGTTGTGGGTTGCGGGCTGCACTTTTCTGAAAGGTAGTACCCGCAGTTTTTCCCGATAGACCAAAACTGAAACTGCACTTTTCTGAAGTTTTCCCAAAAGCAAAGAAAGGATTTTGCAGTGGAACAATAGCAGAAGGGACTCCCTCCACTGCTCAACATTCTGCGTGCATTCGTACTCCATTTTTTTATTTTTATTTTTATTTTTTATTGTTTTTCGTACTCCATTTTGACCGGGTGCATTCGTAGGAGTCCTACACTTCCGATCTCTTCGGACAATGTTGATGTACATATACTGTGATATACATGTAGAATGTTGTGTTGGGGGGGGGGGATGGTGCTCTCCGCAATATTGTGGATGCGTTTGCGCTTGGTTCTGATTCTGACCAATTGCATTCACAGGAGTCCTGCATTTTGAACCTATTTGGACAATGTTGAGGTCCATAAGCATGCCGACTGTTGTGGAGTGGAGTGGGGCCTGATCTCCTCACCAATCTGGATGGATTTGCGCTTCTTTCTGACCAGGTGCATTCGAAAGAGTCCCTACCTTCTGAACCTATTTGACAATGTCGAGGGGTATGTACATGTCAGTGTTGTGTAGGGTAGCAAGGCCGTAATTTGCATGGTCTGCATGAGCTTCGCATGAATGAACATTCGTTTCCTTTTCGTTTGTTCAGAATCTGCTGTGCTCACAATTTTCCCTCCAAATTTACGTACGACTAAGGTGTCCATGTACTTCACATGTCACACCATAGATTCGAAGAACACCATACCCTTCCTGAAAGGATGGGGTCTCGATCCACTACACTAGACTCACAAAAAGTGTAGAGTTGGGCAGTGCTCGGCTACAAAACTCCAGTCTTGAGCTGTCAGAAGCAGCTCTGGACTAGAACTCTAGAGTAGGGGCCTCGCTGCACTACTCTCGAAATGTGCAAAACGAGAGCGAATCTTCTGCTAAAACATGGAAAGATACACCACCATGAATTTTGTCTTTTGTGCATTTCGAGAGTAGTGCAGCGAGGCCCTAGAACTCTGGACTTTTGGTGAGTACCCAGCCTACAACCGAGAGGGTTTCTATGGAGGACCTTTGTACAGCTGTCAAAATACCCTCTCTCAGGCTCTCTGGCGTTGTCATTTAGTGCTCTGCTTAGTCTGGTACACTCAAGGAAAACGATTTTGTTGTCAACCACCCCTACCTCCGACCCTGAATTTCACTGCGCACCGAGTCTTGCCGAGCCTGGGTCCCATCGTGCTTTCTTTTCTGGTACTCTACGGAAATGAAAAAGAAAAAAAAAAGAAAAAAGAAAAGAGAAAAAAAAGCAACAACACAAGCCACGCGAAAGCAGGTGCATTCAGAATCCGGGGTGACTGTAGTCAGGGTAGGAACAGGCAGTAGTAGAAGAGCTAGTAAAGGTTAGGGTCGAGGTGATATGGTTCTGAAAGTAACGCTACCGTCTTCCCCCGAACATAACGCACCCTGAAATTGAACGTATGCAAGCTTATATTTCCGGTCCGGTACAGCCAAGATGATGGTGCGTTGTGTTCGGGGGAAGGCTTAGTAGCTCAGTGGTTAGAGCACCGGTTGGAAATGTGCATTGTGGTATAAGGTTGCGGGTTCAAAACTCCATTGCAACCTTGCGCATGGACACGGGCAGGGCGTTAGATTGACGCACAGCTGGACACACGTCCCCTTGGGCTAACCCATGGTACTATTACTAGTATTGACGTGAGGATGGGTTGGGAGGTGGTCTCATATTCCAGGATACCCGCGGCTCACAGTTCCAGGTGATCACTGTGCGCACACTGACTGGCCTCTACAACACCCTGGACTTAAAAAATAAAATAAATAAATAAATAAGTCTAGGAGGAAGCGAATGTAGGGTAGAATTTGTCTTCATAAGCTAAACCGCCTGATGCTGCCGGGATAACTCCGGGGGCGTGGTCCCACTAGCAAAGAGGATCGGATCGAATGCCTCGACTTCCTCTTCTTCGTCCTCGTCAATTTCCTCGTTGGCCTTGTACTCATTCCTATTGCCGCCACCCGGTCAGACAACTTTACTATCACACAATAGGGAAAAAGCAGGTCGGTTGCCCAGGCGATCCTTTCTAGCTCCTGGCCTAGCATCAATCAGCAGACGGGGCCGGTACTACTGGAGTCCTACCGGGGGCTGATCCGTCTAAATGGAAACCCGTGGGACTAGTACCATTCCCGCCCCTGAAGGGAAAATGGAAAAAAGGAACTCAACACCCGTTGGGCCCAGCGAGGCTTACAGACTATGACAAAACTGAAGGGGGATCGCCCCAGGGCCCACAACCCTCTCAGTTCTTTCAACAATGTTCCCTGGCCCTGCCTTTTCTGCTACATGCTAGGCTCGATTCTGGAATCTGCCGCATAATGCCTCAGTGTGGTATACTGGTGCCTATTGAGCTAAGCTCATGTCTGGGCTTGGTAGACGCAAAATTCCATACAAGCAGTATCTCTTTCCAGACCCGGACCTACCAACCTACGCTAAGGCCACACTTTGGCTTATAGAAGCCAACCGGTCTGGCTTAGGACTATTGTGTTTTTTTGATGGCTCACGCGTGGCCCAAAGGCCACACCTTTGGCCACCTAGGTTCACTTCTCACCCCTCCTACGTCAAACCACTTATGCTCGCACGCCATTCACGACTCGCGCTAAGGTTTTAACCAATACGTCTCGACATGTCTCCCGCGCCGGGTCCTTCCCAATTTGGCCCCGCCGAACTCGGGCCAAAGCTATGTCTCGGCGGCCTCGACCAAAAAAAGGTCGAGGCCGCCATAATGTGCCGTCAATTTCAATTGAGGCCATCCGCCTCCTGTCCGTCCCAACGTTGCCTCGTGAAGCAGCGGCATATTTGGTGTGCGACTGCACTAGGCTGTGCAGTACACCGTCAACTATATTATAATATTGCTGGTGCATGTGATCACATGCTGGGTCCTCCCACTCACATTAGTAAGGTCTCCAGCCGATATGGGTGAGTGTGTTTGTGGGGGGGGTTGTCTATGTGTGTGAGTGCACCTGTGAGTGGGTTGCCTGTGGTGTGCGGGAGAGTGTTGGCTTTAGACACTACTTTTACTCAATGGGGGTGAGGGAAGATGAAAAGGGAGGCACAGTTCCTGGGAAATGCTATGTCTTTGTGACAGTTTGTGTTAGCCGGGCCCCCACTGACAGCCCCAATTCTGCACCCTAAACACTAAGACAAAGGGCAAAACATGAGGTTACCTCCCTCCACAGAGAGAGGTGGGATGGGAGTTACCTCCCTCCACAGAGAGAGGTAACCACCGTAACCTCCCTTCTTTGTAGAGAGGTAGAAAGCTATGCTTGCAGGGGTCCCCTGTATAGCCTTAAGAGTAAGGGTAGGTAGTGAGTGAGAGGGAAAATATGTGTTCCATGACATGGCAAAAGCCAGTTAAAATATTTGAGGTGAGAGAAAATAGGTCACTATTATAGGTGTATAGCCATCACCCGATGAAATAAGAAGTATTGCTGCGACGTGATGCATGCTAGTCCTCTCAGAGAAAAAGATCCACGTGATGCATGCTAGTCCTCTCAGAGAAAAAGATCCACGTACACTGGCGGATATGCTCGTGTCACGTTTCCCTTTCCGCCGAGGCCACAGTCTCACAAGCACTTTACGGCCAAAACTGAAATGATCTTTTTGAGATCTACAACCCTATGTTTTTAATTTTATTTTTTGAAGTTTTGCTGTATTCAGAAAAAACAAAAACCGAGAAAGAAAGAAAAAAACAATAAAAAAGATGAAATGGGTGGGTTTTTCTTTTTTTTCACGGAGATTGTTTGGTGCGCAACCAATAAAGAAAATAAAAAAATAGAAGGTTGTAGATCTTTTGGAGATCTGCAACCCTGTTTTTTATTTTTATTTTTATTTTTATTTTTGAAGTTCATATGTATTTAAAAAAAAAAGAAAAACACAAAAACCAGAGAAAAAACAAAACACACTCACAGACAACCACCCCCACAAACACACACAAGCACGCACAGTGGCACACACACGCACACACACATAGACAATCCCCCCCCACAAACACACACACACACATACATAGACAACCCCCCCCACAAACACACACACGTACGCGCACACACACACACACACACACACACACACACACACACACACACACACACACACACATCATGACACATGTGCACACAAACGCACACACACACACGCACTCACACACATACATACACATACACATGCACACAAACACACACGTGCACACACACACACACACACTGTTGCATACTCGTGAAACACAGGCATAAGTATGGCGCAGATTCCCAGGACCGACCAGATAATACATAGTTAATAGAAATACAGCGGAAGAGTTGATACCCATGGACTGACTCTGACCTGACTCAGACTGCAATCGAACACTCTCAAACATACATCAGGGGTGTGAAAGCCCTGGCCTTGAACATAGACGAAAGGCCAGGGTCTGAGATCATCCACGGACGAATGGAGGGAGGAGAGAGACGAAGGGAGGAGGAGAGGGAAGATGATGTCAACTCAATGTTTCCAAAGATAGTATCTTGAAATGTCAG